TCTCTGCAGGGACTCCATCCAGCCCTACCACACAGTGCCAAGCCTCAGCTGAGCTCCATGACCCTCCATGCCTTCACAACCAGGACCACATGAGTGACTCTTACTAGTTCAGGTGACAGCACAGGGTCCGGACGGTGGCAGCCTCTGGCTCACAGCATCCGTCCTCGACTGTGTGCTTACTCTCTCAGGAAACACTTCCCAAAAGATTTCACACCTCAGAGACGCGGCTCTCCCGAATCACAGGTGATTCCTCAGCCCCAACTAATCAGCATCCATTGTCCCAGCAAAGTAAATGTTTTGGTCTCTGGTTAATCATAGCCGATTCTTCGCCTCCAGCTGACCAATCACAGAGCTGTCTTCACACGAAAGGTCTGGTAGAGTCTTAGCCTCCCTCTGAAACTCCGCAAGCCAGGCCTCCGTCGTCTGCACCTGCTCTCAACAGTCTTTTTTCTCCACTTAGCACAGCTGTGTTTAGTCCGTCATAATCACTCAAACTGCTCTTGCCTTTATCGTCAATATTGCTTTGTTATTAATCCCTGGGCTTTCCTCATGCTTTTAATTTAGCTTATAAAAACCTATTTCCCCACAAGTAATTTTTTATATCAGGCCCAGAAGAAACAAACAGACACAAGAACATCCAAAGAAATTTGCCTGTATACTTTTGTTTTATGCTGATACTCATGGGAGACCTGCCCTTTCCTAAACAGAAACAGGAGGACTGGAGTGAGGGGTGGAAACAGAGAGAGGTAGGGAAGAGGGATGGGAGGAGAGGATGGAGGGAAAACTTCAGCCAGGATTTAAATAAGTAAATTTATTTATTTTAAATGAATGAATAAATAATAAAATAAATAATAAGTAAGAACCGCCTGAAAGGTCATACTTTTAAAATATGAATGCACCTTTGTCATCTGCAGTCTTGAGTGGCTTCCCTTCTTTGTTCCCTATTCTTCTCCATTTAAGATATGACCACTAAGCCTTTCATTTTCCTCTTGCCTAGTGCTTCATATAAATGAACAGTGTCACATACATCTTCTGATAGGAATAGCTGAATCTAAAACTTCAGTGCCCGGTCACACGAGCACATCTCATGATAACCACTTTGGGGTCTGTGGCACCTAGAAGTCTGCTCATTAGTTTTTCAGGTAACTAAAGTTAAGTGATTACTCAAGTTCCGTGCAAGGGTTTGGCTTTTCAACGTTTCCAGGAGATGCTATATCCCTCAGCGACACTGGGGCGAGAACGGTCACTACTCGTGACACCCGTGTCTTCCAAGCTCCTACAGAACGGTTCACTGAGCTCTCAGCACTCAGTGGCTTTTCTAACCCAAACATCCAAAGTCCATTCACGCTCCCCACCTGACAACACAGTCAGGACTGTCACAGAAATACCCCAGTCCTGGGAACAACTTGTCTTAGATGGGATTTCTGTTGCTGCAATGACACGCCATGACCGGAAGCAAGTTGGGGAAGAAAGGGTTTATTTGGCTTACACTTTCACATCACTGCCCATCACTGAAGGAAGTCAGGACAGGAACTCAAACAGGGCAGGAACCTGGAGGCAGGAGCTGATGCAGAGGCCTTGGAGGAGCGCTACTTACTGCTTGCTCTCCACGGCTTGCTCCGGCCTGCCCAAGACTACCAGTCTAGGGATGACCCCACCCACAATGGGCTGAGCCCTCCCAGGCAAGCACTAATTAAGAAAACGCTCTACAGGCTTGCCTACAGACCAGTCTCAAGGAAGCGTTTTCTCATTTGAGGCTCCTTTCTCTCAGATGTGTCGAGTTGACATAAAACTATGTAGCACGGCCAGTATCTGGGAAACCATGGAGACTGCACTATCCCGGAGGCTTTTCTGTGAGAGAACTCTGCAGACAAGTTGGCCAGGGCTCAGTCGCAGTAACAGAATGCAGTGGCTTATGTTACTGGGCGCTTTCAAAGCATTGGGCCACCTTCTCTGACCCCGACACCCTCTGCCGGCCTCCCCAGTCCAGGCTGTGGTGATTTCCTCTTGGCAGCAAAGAGACTGATGAACAGGCTGAGGAAGTGAATTACCCTGGGTCGCACAGTCTGAGATCTGTGGCGTGGCTGGGAGGAGAACGTGAGCCTCTGCGACCTCCACTCTCAGTGACCCTTCACGGGGGGTCTCAAAGCCACGCAGGCTACATCTGAGGCTGCGCGTGGAGCAGGGGCTGCTCTGTGCTTTCTGGAACACTGAGGGAATGAGGTCAGGGTGCAGGACCAAACTTAGTCAGGTCCGGCCTCGCCTAAAGCCACTGGCTTAAACCCTTAATCCAGCATCTGTTCTAGCATCATTTCTGTGGCTCCAGTATGGGAAGCTCCAACATAGGGAAGCAATTCAGAGAATTCAGCGTTGGTTTGGCTTACAGTTCCAGGCTACAGCCCATCATGAAGAAGCTGAGGCAGGAACTCAAGCGGCTGGTCACATCATATCCGCCGTCAAGGGCAGAGAAGAACGCTCTCCTGCTTGCCCACCACCTCTCAGCTAGCTTCCTTCACTCTTATATAGTTCAGGGTCCAGGCCATAAAATGATACCACCCACAGTCAGGGTAGGCCACCTACCTCAATTAACAGTCAGGACAGTCCTCCACAGGCCAATCTGGTCTAAATAACTGGTCACTGAGAGTTTCATCCCAGCTGATTCTATATTGTGGCAAAATGTCCATGTGCCTTTGGAGTTTCCTAAATCCAGAGGTTTGATCCGGACGACAGTTCGGTCTTCCAGGGTCCTTCTGTTGTCCTGCTGCTTCACCCATGCATGATAGAAAGTGAAAGACTGATGCTGGCTGGAGGCCGCCAAGGAACGGGTGGCGTGTGCCCGCCACTCAGGACAGTGCGGTGTGGTCTCCCTCTGACTCCTCATGGCTATCCCACACTGAGGCTCAGATGGCCTCCTGGAGTTCTTATCACTCCTGTTTCTGAGTTCATCTCCCTTGACTCTGCCCTTCAACAGCTTGCTGCTCAGTTCCTCACGGGGACCACACAGGAACAGAGCAGAAGCCGGGGCCCAGGTCTCCACACAATTCACCTTGTGGCAGGAATGACCCAGCATTGGAGGGCTGTTCCTGAGCTCCACAAGTGTGTCTGTCTTCCTCTCCATCTGCGTTGGCACCGCAGGGATCAGGAGCTAAAGGGTTAACACCCAGCCAGCCAGGTGTCCTCCAAGACTGCCCCTGTCACAACAGCACCTGTAACCCCCACAAACCTCTCTTAACCTGACCATCACAAATCCATTTGTGGCGTTCACCCCCTTAGTGGACCACCACCACCCAGAGCAGTCCCCTTCTCTGAAATCTCGGGGACCTCTTCCCTTGACATTCCTTTAGGTCATCATACACCCCGTCTCTCCATGGGATCAGTCCCAGCAGACTTCTTCTTTTCCAGGCTTTCTCAAGACAGAAGTGTCCACGAGACAGCACGATGGCTCAGCAAATGCAAGCAGAAGTCAACCAAGAAGGTTCCAGAAAAAGCATTTGCTTTCTGGATTTTACTTTTACATCGCCAATGTTGCTCTTACTGATAGATCCTGGTGCTATGTTATTGGTAAGAGCTGTGGCTATTATTAGTTCTTATTACCAACTTTCTCCCCACCAACCAGTCCCCCATGCCTGCTCTAAACAGGACATGAGCCCTGAAGTCTTGGTGATTGTATAGTGGCCCAAGAAAATGGGATTATAGAACGGTGTTGGTGGTGGTAGCGGTGGTGGTGGTGGTAGTGGCGGCAGTGGCTGTGGTGTGTGTAGTGTAGTGATATTTCATTTGTATTTTAGTAAATAAAGTTTTCCTGAAGATCAGAGAGTAAAATAGCTGCCCTGGTCAGCCTTACAGACAAGGCCATGGTGACACACACCTTTAATCTCAGTAGCCACACTAGTTTGCCATAGAAACTGGGCATTAGTGGTGCATGCCTTCAAACCTAGCACTAGAGAGGAATATAAGACAGGAGGAGACAGGTTTCAGGGGCAGTCCTATTCTGAGGGTTTGTGGAGGCAGGATCACCATTTCAGACTGAGGTAGAGGTAAGAGCCAGTGGCTGGCTGATTTGCTTTTCTGACCTTCAGGTTGAACCCCAATATCTGTCTCTGGATTTTTATTAATTGTGCTACAGGTGTGTGTGTGTGTGTGTGTGTGTGTGTGTGTGTGTGCGCGCGCGCGCGTGCGTGTGTGTGTGTGTGTGTGTGTGTATTACTGGGGTACTGGGGATTGCACACAGATCTGCACATACACTAGACAAGCACTACACCACAAAACCACATCCCCACGCCTCCAGAATCTTTCATCAAGAGGAGGGATCCGCTGCCAAAAGGTGAGCTTCCTGTTTTTCCACCCAAACACAGCCTTGATGGGTAGATGGGAACTGAACCCTGTGCCTCTCTATGTACCTGTCTGATTCTGCGGGGGGCAGGGAGTGTTTTTCCCACCTTCCTGCATCATCGGTCCTCATCCCAGAGAGGATGGACTTTCCTCTGTGTTCTCTTCCTACTCATAGGAAAACTGCTTACTCCAGTCCTTAGGGCCCTACCTACCTAGGCAGACCCCTGAAGTCTGAGTAATGAGTAGATGAAGAAAGAGGAAGATGTTTCCCCTCCCAGCCAGGCTGCCTGCCTTTCAAGCCAAACTCACCATCTTGGATGGCAGAAGCCTGTTGTTGACAAGTTATCATTAACCCTTATTCACCATTCTGCCTTGCTTCGGCATTCCTTCCACAGTCCTAACCTCCAGCCAGCATCCTTCTCCCTGCTGTGTGGATGACGATCCCAAGGAGGCCAAGAGGACAAATCATTTTTCCGGAGTTAGTCAAAACAGGAACAGTTAGACTGATCATGAGCGCCCACTCTCCCCAGCACCGTTTCCTCCAGCCATCCCTCCCACACCTTCGACTTCATCCCCTTCCCGTGGAGAAAGGGACACAGTCATGCATGCAGAATACAGAGCGAGCCAGCAGCTTTATTGTGGAGCAAGGGTGCCAGCACTAGAGCAGGTTAGTCCTCTCTGGTCTTGGAGGCTGGTGGAGGCTGGTACGTGTAGGAAAGGCAGCACAGGGACGCGTCGGGACACAGGTGCATGTAGGTTTCCTGCCTCGCGCAGTAAGTTCGGCAGGCCCCTTGGCCATTCCAGCACTTTTTGAATTCACTGCTTCCTGTATGGAGGAAAACCACAGATCATAGAGCAGCCTGTGGGTCCCAGGTTAGACCGCTGGTCACAAGTTGGACTACAGATTGGGCTATGCTGGTGATAGGTTAGCTCTCTGGTCAGATGTTAGACCACAAGTCATAAATGGGAGCACTGGGTTTCCATGGAGGTTACAGATCTCATTCTAGGTAAGCCCGTAAGTCACAGGTTAGACCACAGGTTAAAAGAATAGCTTCTTGTCCAGGTAAAAGCTCCTATCATGTACACCCTTGTTGTTCTCTTAACAGCACTATACCATTGTGCAGCTGGTCTCATTTCAATCCCTTTTATAATGGTGGAGAGATGAAGACTCACAGAGGTCAATAACCTTAATGAAGCCATCATAGTCACATGGCAAAATCAGAGTGAAAGCCAAAAAAGTCTCCATTATACAAACTTTCTCTGGCACAAAGGGACCTCTTTCATGCCAGGCTTTAGTGTGAGAGTTTCCATTCACAGAAAGGCAAAGGCTTTGGGGAACTTGGTCTTTCTTATATTTGGGAGCCATGGCATGGATGGAGCCTCTCATTTATTCACTGAGCAACTATGGAGCAGCAGGGATACCACAGTTTAAAATGAAAGAAAGTGCAGACAGGGCAATCAAAAATGAAACAAATACTTAGAGCTTGTGGTAAATGCCCCGTAGAACCAGTATTAGCGCCCCGTGGAACCAGCATACTGTGGTGGCCAGTTGGAGCAGAAGTGGGTAAGAGGGGAGAACAGGAGCACTCAGGTTTGCCTGGGACAGTGCATTCCAGACATGTGACCTCAAGCAAGAAGAGAACCAGGAGTGGGAGGCAGGAAGGGAAGGCTTCCCTCCATCTTCCTAGACTGAGAGATCCCTCCAAGACCTCAGAGGATGCTGCCAGACCTGTGTACAGGTTTATTAGCCCTATAACCCTGCCTTCCAGCCCAGCAGAGCCTCTTAGACAGACCCAGAAATGGTCTCACAATCTCTAGGCATCACAGCCTAGATGTGCGTGACTAATGGTGAACAAGGCTGTGTGACCCTGGCTGTCATTTCCCAGGCGAGTGACCTTGGCCTTCGATTCCTCATCTATAGCACTCTCCTTCAGAGGGTAGTCATGGGAACCAGGCACATTGTAAATGGTCAGTAAGCAGGAACCGAGGTTATCAGGGTGAAATTCAGATGGTCAAGGCTACCAGCGTCCAGTCTAGGGAATTTCCCTCACTTTCTAGATAGAGAAAGGGTCTTGCCCCTAACCCACTGAGCTAGGATAGGTTTAGAAACAGAACTCTCACCTACATTTGACCTTCCCGAGGGCTCAGAGTTGGGGTTTCCACTACCCAGTATGCAGTTCATCTACTCTCAGTTCTCAGGCTTGGGGCTGTCTCCCTCCTGTATGTTCCCCACTCCCGCAACATTGGCCTCCTCTGCTGTTTGCTGCTTGCCATTCCCATGGTCTGAGACAGCCTTCCTTGGATCCTCTGTTCACACAGAGTTCTACTCAAACCTGCCTTCTAGAAAATTCTATATATACTGTGAGGTAGGGCAAGGAGAAACGAAACAGTGCTATGGCTGTATGATGGGCACATCCGGGCTCTTCAGACCGTTTCCTACCTCTGCTTAAAATGTCTTACAATGAACGTTTTCAAGCCTCATCTCACTATGTTACTCTCTATTTTTTTTCACATGTTAAATGTGTCTGAAATAAACTCGCCTTGTGGGCGGGGGCATAGGTCAGTGCTTAAACACATATTTAAGCGGAATGAAGTCCTGGGTCCCATCTCCAGTACCATCAAGCAAAACAGAGGAAGGAAAAGACAACCTTACCTGCTCGCTATACCATTCTCTGTCTATGCATATTTTACCCTTTTTTTCAAAAGAGAAGTTTTGAAAAGTTTTCTCTCATTTTTTAGTTTATATTTTGTTATTTTTCAAGCCAGAGTCTCAAACTCACTAAGGAGGTCCAAGCCAGCCTTGAACTCTCAATCCTCTCTCCCAAGACCTGGGATTACAGGTGTGAACTATCATGCTCTGATCAAAATAAAAGGGGTTCTAGAAGCTGGGAGGATTTCTCAGTGGTTAGGCACACTTACTGCTCTATCAGAGGACCAGAGTTCAGATCCCAGCACCCACATAGGAGAGTTCACACAAGGGTAAATAACACCAGCCCCACGGAGCGTGATGCTCACTCCTGGCCTCTGTGGACCTCAACACTCACTTGCACAAACACACATACACACACCATTTTACACAAGGAAATAAAATAAATCTTCAAACATTTTAAAGAGCTGATCAGAGCCTTCCAGCACCATCCATCCAACCCCACATGCTACTAACAATTTGCCTCTATTGTTCTTATATCTGTAGCCACCGGACAGGTTATCTGTCTGCCTGTTTTCTCTTCCCACAAGCCTCCAGCAATCATAATAGTGCATAGTTTTCAAATGAGTTTCTGTGGAGTGAATCCCATTTTACAGATTAGGGAACTGAGGTGCAGGCTGATTTAACAACTGGCTATACGCTGTCCCACAAATTAGTGGAACCAGAACTTAAACGCTAGTCTGGCCTTCTGGACCTGGGAGCCTAGTATTCATTTACACACACACACACACACACACACACACACACACACACACACACACGATTACCTGGTGGCACATGACCCAGGACCAGGAAAGCTACAATGAGCAGAATCCACTGTGCCATGGCCACCAAGCTCCTGGGGAGGCCGCCGGGACCAGGTCAGAGAAGAATCCAGCATAAAGTCTTGCTGTATTTCCAGCTTTTATGGGCAGCAAACCCAGGTGGGAGGGTGCAGCCACGTGGTCCCAAGGCTGTTTAGCTCTCTCATGGCTAGCTCTGCGTGGACTAGTCAGCCACATCCTCCAGAGGCTGCAAGGCCCTTGGGTCCATTGAGGGGAGGAAGAAGAGATGAATCTTCCCAGCTGAGAGAGTAAGAAAACACTTGAGAAAGGCCGGCATCTTCCCATGTATTGGTCAATACTGACTGTCAACTCGGCAGCATCTAGAATCACTTTGAAGGCCAAAATTTAGATACGCCTGTGAGTAAGTTTCTAGGTGAGCTAACGGAGGTGGGGAGACTCGCCCTCAGTGTGAACAGCCGCTGCATGGGCTGGGATAATCCTGGACAGAATAAAAAGAAAAACGCGAACTGAGCACCCATACCCCACCTCTCTCCCTCCCTCCTTCCTCCCCACACACAAAGAGGCAATGGGAGCAGCTGCCTCGCATTCCTGGTGCTACCCTAATGAGCTGCACCCTCAAACTGTGAAACAAACAAACCTTCCTCCCTTAAGCTGTTTCAGTCAGGCATTGCGTCTCAACAAGGACAGAATTAATCCACTCCCTAACCACTGGGAGACCTTAAACAAATCGCCCAACCTGGAAGAGACCCAAGCTGCCACCTACAACACGATAACAAGAGTCCTTTTCTTTCTTTTCAAATTGATTACCTTATTTTTAATTTTCTATTAGATTTATTCACTTTATTTTATGTGTCTTGTCTGCGTGTATGCATGTGCACCGTGTGCATGCATGGCGCCCGCAGAGGTCAGAAGTGGGAATAGATTCCCTGGAGCTGGAGTTAGGGATGGTTGTGAGCCACCATGTGGGTGCTTAGAACCGAACCTGGGTCCTCTGCAAGAGCAGCCAGCGCTTTTAACACCTGAGTCATCTCTCCAGCCTCTGATCTACTCTGAGAATGGAAGTTATTACTCACAGAGAGCAATAACTAACTACCTTTGGAGCATTGAATGAAACGAGGTTCTCAAAGCATAGTGCCCGAAGCAGCAACCCCCACCTGAAAGAAATGAGAGCTCCCTAGCCGTACCCCAAATTTCTGAATCAAAGAGCCATGCAAGTCTTCCAGGCTTTTCTAAGACACCACTCCAGACCAAGCCATCGGGATAATACATGCACAGTACTTAATGGTACTGAGTCTGGTTCCTTATCGTCTAGGTTACAGCAAGGAAAGATGAGAAGGGGAAGGGCATCCCCGGCACAGGGAGCAGAACAGGCCTGAAAGTGCAGGTCACAGCAGCGAGACCTACTTAAAAGAGGCCGGGATGACTACACACCACGATGGCTTAAATGCTGAGTTCAGACTTCCATGTCATAGACAAAAACATGTTCATTTGTTTGTCTGTCTTAGCAAGGTTACCTCCAGTTACTTTTTCCTTGGGAGTTAAAACAGGGCCAGGCCCTTTGGGTTTTCTCCATAGAAGCCCCACCAACACATGCCTCAAGGCCACACAGCCAGAAAGTTTACAGGTGGTGGTCCTGACAAATTTTTTCTTGGTCAGTATTTAAAATTTTAATAAAAGCTTGCTTAAATTGGCGGGGGCTGGGGGGACACTCAGGGCCATGTGATGCAGCCAGGCTGGCCTAGAACTTACTATGTAACCCAGGCTGACTGGAACTCACAATCCTCCTGCCTCAGCTCTCAAGTGCTGGAATTCAGATGTGCACCACTGAGGCCGGCAGATTACAATTTTAAATGAAGAGACCGAAACCCAAAGAGGGGAGTTGACTCTCATAAGCTCACACAGTGACAGAATTAACAGAACTAGGACTGGAAACCAGATCACTGCACCCTCAGACTGTGAAGGGTGCTAGTCCAGCACAGCACAGCCTGCAGGTAGGCTGAGGCAGCAAAGCTACCTGTTAGAAACACAATCAGATTTATGTCTTTCCCCAATGGCAGAATTTATTAATAACATCAAATCTACAGGCTAAGTCCTTTTCATTGGATGCAAGTTGCCAGGCAGTCCCGATTTGATAACTGGCCCATGGCATTCTCAGGGTCTTTATTCTGATCTCAATTATTAACATTATACTTCACACAGTTCCAAGTATGTACATGTCTACACAGGTCTATAGCTGTGTGTGTATGTGTGTGTATGTATTGTGTGTTTGTGTTATAGAGTAGCCACAGAGGTCAAGGGGTTAAAGCAGCCACAGAGGTCAAGGGGTATTAGTGGAAGCAGAGGGCATGTAGGACCAGAGAAGTCACTGCCAGTGGTTAGACAACATACTAACAACACAAGTGGAGAGCTTCCGGAGGTTCACGGAGCCCGGACACAGGGTTGAGCTGCAGCCAGAGAGGCAGCCAGAACCAGTCTGGCCACATAAGTAGATGGACAACGGATGGAAGAATGGTAATAATAAGGGCATGTTAAATGGTGGAGACTCTGCTGAGCTGAAGCTTTGGATAATTGGGAGATCTGTTGGTCCCTTTTCACACACACACACACACACACACACACACACACACACACACACACACGGCAGGTGGTCACATGACAGGTCTGTCAGGATGGTACCATGGCTGCATCACTTGTCCTTTCTGTGAGGTCCAGAGAGGGCGCTGTGCCCTTTCCTAATCTGGTGCTCTGTATGTATGCTGCAGGCTCCATACACCAACGAGCCTGGATGGTACCAATATGAACAGATACGCTAATAGAATTGTCTATTGGTCTCCACCTCGTTGGTGGTGCCCGACGGGTGGTAGTGTCTACAGGCCGCTCTGCAGGTGCAGTCAAAATAAAGCCAAGGCCACTTCGTAAAATGGGGTCAGCCAGGGCGAGGCACAACCTGAAAGCCACTGTTCTACTGAAACTTGGAACAGAGCAGAGCCTGACCTCCAGGCTGCGGAAGGGAGTCAGACCTGAGGGAGTTTGTTTCTGAGGGGGCTGAGCCAACATACCCTGCCATGTGGATCTGTTCCAAACCAGGCACCTGGAGTCCCTCAACCATGACCAGGAGCCCCACCCACAGGTACAGTGTGGCCTCCACAGCACACACACACCACACACAACACACACACACACACCTCTAAACCCTCTCAAGAGCTAAAGGGGCTCCTACCCCAAAGAGCTCGAGTCCTGGCCTTGTAGTCAGCTTTTTTTCTCCTTTGCCAAGATCAGCATCTCTCCTGTTCCCTGTGCCTACAAAGGTTAAAACTGATGGATAGATAGGGCCAGTGCAATGGCTCAGTAGGCAAAGGCACTGCTGCCAAGTTGGGCAACCTGAGTTCAATCCCCAATATCCATAGAGGGAGAGAACCAACTCCTCCAAGCTGTCCTCTGCCATCTGCACAGGTGCCTTGGCAACCTCTCCCTGCCCACCCACCCCGCAAAAATAAAGGTTTTTTTAAGTATTTTTTTAAAGGGGACAGTAAACTAATAGACAGATTATTTTTTGTCCCTGTGAATCAGCAGCAAGTGAACGATGAGTGAATTAATGGTATCTGAATCAGACATTCCGAAGTCTCCCCAACAGAGTACATGGGCTCTTCCTCCAAGACCGCTTTTCAAAACTAACCCTCCACCCAGCGCTTCTCAAATGGTGCTCTGGGAATTATCTGCATCTGTTATCACTTGGACGTTTGTTTAAAATGCAGACTTCTGAACTCCGAGCCCAGTTCTCCCGCATGGCCTCCCTTGAAAGGTGGAACCTGGGGCTCTGAACATCGACCAAGCTCCCTCAGAGGCTTCCGTCCAGGGCTGAAGTTGGTGTACTCGGTAGATGGACACAGAGGGACTTACAGACCCAGGAATAAACTCCCTCTCCTGGCACTCCATTCCTACACTGCCACCCCTACGGGGAGGACTGGAGGCGGAGGTCTGCAGGGCGGGGACCCGGGCTGCCTTGACAGGGCGGGGCCGCACGGGGCGGGGTGGCTCTGGACCGGGCGGGACAGGACAGGCCCGAGGGGCTGCGTACCGAGGCCGGGGAATAACGGAGTACTCAGGAACTGCAGCAGCGGGAACTCGGAGCCTCCAAGCATCAAGGTAAACTTAACTGTCCGGGCGGAGTTCTCCGGTCGCCTGCATACAGTGTGGTCCGAGGACTGGGAGCCTCGAACCCGCGTCCTGGAGGGTGCGGGATGGCAGAGCTAGGGGAGCCTGGCACAAGGAACGCCACCATCCATCACGCCCGACCGCCCCAGGACTTGGGACTCACATCCAGGACCGGGAGTTGGGAAAGTTCCAGCTCAGACTCCCCGAAAAAACACTTGAGTCCTGAGCCCGGTAGGCTCCCTCCCTGCACCCTGTTCTGTCACCAAACCAGTTGCTGGGTCCCTCGCGGCTTCTGTCCCCCAACAAAAGCTGGAGGCCATGGCGCCAGCGGCTCCTGAATTTTTCACGCAGGGGCGGACCGGGCACGCCGTTCCCATGGCACCAGGGCACTCAGGTTACAGCCAGAGAGATCCCTGGAGCCCCTCGCCCTTGTGGGGCACCAACGCGCCCCTCCCTTCCTCTTCAAACTCTGCCTGGGGGTATCAGGCAGCGGGAATAAACTTCCCAGAGGCCTCAATCCTCCTCAGCATCCCCCAACCCTGAACAAGTGAAGGAGCTGGTGGGGAAGGGGGAATGGGGCGGTCCGATGTTTCCTGTAGGGAGGGTCTCAGATCCTGAAGGGGAAGGACCGGTCCGGGTAGGCAGCATGTGCTATGGATGTTTTAGGTGTCTCAGCTCGCTGCAGCCACTCTCCGGTCTGTGTCATGGGGAAAGGGTCATCCTCGGAATTTGGAGATCTGCTTCGGGGTGTGTCAGCCTCGTGTGTTTACAGCCTTGCCCTCGCCCCTTCTAGGCGAACCCCGGTGGACTCTAGGCCTGAAACCAGCAGCCCCCAACCCCAAGGAGCTGAAGAGCTCCCCCCACCTCCCCCGTTGAACCAAAGAG